TGCACAATTATTGCTGACTTGTCTGCCATGTAGTCAGGAAGAAGGAGGAGGCAAACAGCCTCAGGATATGCATTGTTTTGGAACCTTGATGTTGTGGTCCTAATGCTTCTTAATCTTTTGTGAGATGGAAGGAAATTAAAAATGTTATAAGGGTCCTTTAAAGCTTTAAGGCCCTTGTTTTGTAGTCTAGCCTTATAGATTTCCGCTGGGGGTGGGAGATTGCATAAAGTAATTCTGGATGCAGTATGCACCACTTTGTCCAGATGTCTTCCTGTCCTCAGCTGGCATGTTGGCAAACCACTTAGTTATTGCATTCATAAGGATGCTCTCCACTGCACCAAACTTTACCTGGATATATATATATATAAAAGAATCTGGTATGTTGTCTTTGACGTGCTGTCCACTTGTAGAACTTTGTTGATGGCCAAGGGTGGGTGATCCCCACAGCTCCTGTGAAAGACTACGACTAATTCCTTGGTTTTGAAAACATTTAAACTGAAGTTGTTTGCATTACATCCATCCACCAGAGACAGAAAATCACTCCTTTAAGCTGTTTCACTGTTGTTTTATATATTTAGATTGTTTGAGACTCTTCTCTACTTGTGCTTCTGTTGCATTGTATTTTAAACAGGTCACAGTAACATAATGGTGCACTACCTTGGTGTCAGGTTTAGTGCAGAGTAGCAGTTTCTTTGATATTTAAGGGTTTTGTTGACAGTGGCTCTGGGATAAAAATGTACCAGAGGCTCCTAATGATGAGGAATTTGTGTTTGTGCCATTTATGAATCAGAGCATTTAAAACCAGAGCTGGCACACGAGAACGATGAAGCTAGCTCAGATGAAATTAGCACAGAATGAGACAACAGTCAAGAAACTGTTGAAGCAGTGGTCTAAAGAGAAGCTTGGACAGATGAGGGAACCTTACCTCAGACACCTCTTCCTTGCTGCAATAAACACATACATAGTTTTCCTGACCAAATTTCCAACCAGCTGCTTTGGCCTGGTTGAAGAACAGATACGGGGTGCCACGACTCCCAAAAGGTGATAGATCCCAAGTCTTTCGTTTTTGTCCAGAAACAGAACGTTATGGAACTCCCATGAAAACACTACAGAGTGGGGTACACTGTGTAGAGCCATGTTACAGCATCCGCAAACAGGAAACTGTTATTTGTGATTATTATGCTGATTTATTTGGGTTTGGCAGGTGTCAGTCTATCAGACGTTACAGTTGGCCATGTGCAAGATAAGTTCAGTATAAACATGAAATATTAAATTTTAATATTGACCAAATTAGCCTTTAAAACAACAAAACTCACAACATTCTAATTTTAGAACATAAAGCAGCTGATCAAGATAAAGCTTAGAAGAGTAAGCCAGCATCATGTTAAGTAGGACATGTATGATGTAGAATTAATACAAAACTAGAGACCATCTTAAAATGGGGTCACTCCAGCTGCGATATGGTGATCAAGGGACTTAAAACCAATGTGAGCCATCTTTGAACTTGACCTTCTTGTGACCTTAACTACACATCTGTAAAGGACTGTTCCTTATTTACCTGTTGAGGGAGGTCGCTGGGGTCAGACCTGTGAACTACAAATATTTTTCCTTGAGCTTTAATAAGTGACTGAGTGAAAATGCAGGACTGATCACCCAGTATCCTCAAGTCAACTTGGTTTTAGGGTCAAATGCCAGGAAGTGACCAGACGGTGCCCTGACAGCTCATCGGCTTTTTGACCTCTCCCTGCTCTGTCCTCAGTCACACACTTAATCATTCCTCAGTTTCACTGTGTCCATGCTGATGAGTTGAGGTTAAAGTATCATCACTGCTAAGAAAAGAAATTACTTCCTTGTTCAAAAAAGTTAATCTTTCCCTGCACTAGGCCTTCATGGCTCTTCTGCAACATCTTTCAGTAGGTGCAAATCATAGACTTAATATAATGGATGTAGTCTTTGTGACAATACCATTAAGGTCCTGAAGAGCCTTTTTGAAACTTAGTGGGAGGCTCCCGGCCATCATCATTGGTAATGGGTGACTCTAACTCCCGACTACTCCAAAAATGCAGGCAGAATGAAGCCTGGTTGCTGAAATACGGCCACCTAGCTTGACATTACGAAACTGACTAAGGCTAAGATGCTATGCAGGTGCACCTGAAATGCAGGTGTAACATTATGCAGTACATTTTGGTCAGGAGTTTTTTCACCATGGGTAGCAGTGAAAGTAACTTAACTTTAAACCCGTTAAACTCTGGTACTAGATTGAAGAATGACATCACACCACTGAGTACCAAAATATCAGATACCTTTATTTCCTAATTCATTAATTTAAAAACGTGTTTGGGTTGAGGTTGGCTATACCAAGGCAGTACCAGGTGTCAGGGATGAAACTAAGCTGTAGACACCGTCCAATGCACAGGTGAAGCAGCTCAGTCAGCCATGGGCCGACCACTGTGCCTGGCTGGGAAGCAGTGCCAGCTGGCTGGCTCTAATGTTATAAGCCACCTTTAGGAGACACCTGGCCTCCTGTCCACTGGAACAGCTCCTCTCTGTCTTTCTGTCTTCACCATCGGCAACACTAGAATTCATGAACAAGACCACCGCAATCACGCCAGACAGAGCCAATGGGTGCTCGGCTCTGCCTTGTATTTAGCCAAGTCTATCATTAACATAACATTAGCATTACTATGGCCAGTTTAATGTCAATATTTTTTTTAACATCATTATTTTCCAACCCCACATAGAAACCTTTTGTTCAAAAGTACTGTATTAACACACTAAATTCTTTGGTGCATGCTGGTTTAGTAACTGTGGCTAGAATGCACTCCCATTAGCACTGCTGGACTGACCCAAAGCTAACTCATGAGCTTGTTAATTAGCTAGTTAACGAGCTAACTCACCAAAACTTTTTGGATGGTTTGTTAGTACAACTTACCACACAGCAAGCCATATTATTAGTTTGATATTTGCATGAAAAACTAGCTGAGATGACGCCGAGCAAACAGCTAGCAGCTAGTGAAAGCACCCACCTGTTACTGCAATCGGCCACGCCCTTAATTATGCACAACTTTAAGCCTAGGAAAATTTGCTATAGAGTTTTTTATACCAGGTTGTTAACATGTTTAATTGACCCTTTGCTTAGTACTACCCATTTAACACAGACTGGCCTATCATAGTGTAGCATCGACCAGCACCAACCAGAGTCCGACAACTAGGCTACATGACTGTGCTCCACAGACTCTCATCGAATCGTTTCAGAGTTTCTAAGTTTTAGGGCTGGTTTTGTAGATTTCAAGATAAACGTTGTGCCTGGGGCACATCATGTAATGATAATACTCATTACCTGTAGAGGTTGGAAGGAAGTAGACATTTCTTCTCAGTCCAAAAATCCAAAGTCAAACCTTTGTTTGTGTAGGGTTAGCTAGCTACTGAAGATAAAGCCTACTGAATTTAAACACATGCTACTTTTGCTTATTAATGATTATAACAGTGAATAAAGACCTACAGGGACCAGTAAGGGAAAGCAGGCAGGAAACTGCAAATATTCAACCAGCTGTGTGTCATCACAGTATGTGCAGATGAAAGTTGTTTGTCTTCTCCCGCAGATTCCTGCCCATCCGGAGGTGGTGATAGTGCTGATACTGGCAGCACTACAGGGGGAAGCCAAAAAACGTTCATCTGTACACACTGTGTCCCTCTATTTTCATTGTGTTCAGTCTTGATCACCATTGATGTGGTGGTTCACTTTTACACTGTCATCTGTATGTTAGGCATTAGCTTCTACCTGTCTTCATCTTTTTAACCTGTTTTGCTGCTGAGTGAGTTTGACATATCCTTCAAACACATATTGTAGACCCCTCTGCCTGCCTCTGTCTCGAATCACTTTCTAAAAATTTCATAACTTTTCTTAAGGGATTAAAGTTAGTGACAGTGTGGTCTCCATGCTAGCTCCGACAGCTTAACGGACCATCACAAAGGGGCGGGGCTTAACAAAAGTCAATTCTGCCATAAAGTTGGGCATGTTAACATGGGAGGCCATGGGATTGGCTCTGTTTTGGAGCAAGCCTTAAGTGGCCAGTTGATGAACTGCAGTTTTTGGCACTTCTGCATTGGCTTCTTTTTCCAGCCTCGGATGTTGCTTCTTGGGTGTGAATTGTCGCTGCAAATATGAGGGACAGAAATGACCTCAGTCAGCCAGGACTACTTTTGGGTTAAAAAAAATATATACAATTTTTTCCTTTGTGTTGCAATTTTGTGGGTGTTTTTGCCATGGAGTGGAGGTGAGAAGGTCAAAATACTTCTTTCAACAGTAAATTCAATCAACATTGATGAGGAGATTAGTTTACTAGTTTAGTCAGCAGTTGCTCTCTGTTCTTTGGGAGACTGTATGCTGATCAGGAACTGCCTGAGGTTGCTCATTGGAGGGGCGTGGTAACTCAGCATCTCATGGAATGTGTGTGAGTGTGTATGGTTATGAAATCAGAACAATGGTGCTAGTTATGTTATTTAATATCCTATAGACATCTGGGAAGAGAGCCTAGATTATCTTCTTTCCTGTTTTAAACTTCAGATGTTTACCCATACCTTGGGTGATTTTGGGTATAGCACTAGATTTTCCCTCTTTCATTGTGAGTATGTTTTACAGCTGTTTATATAATGAATAAGAATGATACCATGATGTCACAGACTTCCAAAATCTTAATTCTGTTACTTTCAAGTTTACTGAGCCTGCTATGCTCCTAGAAATTGCATAATACTTGCATAAAGTCACGTAATATTTTTCTGTCTTTCAGGTCGAAAAGAGAAATACCTCTAACAGAAGCTTCCGGTCGCAAGATTGGCAGGTATGACGCATGTGTTTTTTTTTTGTTTTTTTTTTTAGGTTTGTATTTTAGTCCAATTAGAACGATAACAGGAGCTCGAAAGAAGGATTTTATTGTGGAGATTAAATCAGCATGGACTTAGGGGCACATGGTCAACATTTTAATCGCTCTATTGTTTGCAGTATCTAGTGAGGAGGATGGGCTGCTTTTATTAAGCCCAATATAATCCATTCTTATCCCTGAGAATTAGGAAATTCACAAGATTATTCGTTTGTGCTGCATAAACTCAATAGGATGTCAGGAAGCTACAATGCACAAAATCAGAGTAGTGGGACACAGTTAGGAGTACAACCTAGAAAAGCTTATTATCAGGAAACCTCAAGAATAGTTGCTAAATAGCACACAGGTGATTTGGGAGAAGCTTGGGAGACACATCAGTAAAAATAGCTGCAAGTAGCCATAAAAATGTTCAAACATACAGGGAAATTACACTCAGAAGTCACTTTACATCTGTATAGACAAGGCTGAGTTATCAACAACTGGGCCAAGTTTGATTGTATGACAACATTTCTTGTAAGTTAATTGCATGCATTTTTAGGTCTATAGGTAACTATTGTAAACATAAAGCATCCTTATCAAAAAAAATCTTAAAACAAGATATTAAAGGATGCCAGTTAGGCTTTAAGGCTCCAAGCCTCTCCTCTTGCACTGTGTTATTTGCATGGTCTTCCCTCCAGATTGTGACCAGGCTCAATCTGCTTTGGATTTTGTCAGTCTTGTCCACATGCTAGTGAGCTGCTGTGAGGTTGGGGCCAGGTGTTGGGGTGGGGGTGGGGGTAGGTTTGGGTTGGTTTTATAGCCAAAGCAATCAATATCTTTGTTCATTATGAGCCATGTGAGAAAAACTTTCTTCATGAATTCAACATAACACAGAGTGATTGATGTACAAGTGGTCATTTTTGTGATAACAATTAGATAAAGGCAACTTTGTAGCAGAACACACATGCTGCTGGAAGGTAATTACCACATAGGGCATGACACATTAGATATTAGTACAAAGATGAAGGTGGGTTTGCGTCTCCTAGCACCAAATATCTTTCTTTCTTGCAATCAGTTGGTATGTCTTTGTCATCAAAGGGGATCAAATGTAGTTGTAGCAGTCATAATACAGACTGTCCTCATACACTGTCATATGATTTCCTATGAAAAGTAATACATCAAAATTCATATATGTCCTTTGAAATCATTAGCCAGTAATTCATTTATAACCTACGTATTGGGGAAGACTGCGATTATGTGACCAATGCACTGATGGGACTAAACAAGGAAGTGGTCCCTGAAGAAAGCAAATTGGGGTGATGGATGGGACACAAAACACAGGACTTTCACTTGGGACTTGGGACCCCAGGAGACCGGTGTCAGAACATGGTCAACATGTTTCTTTTCCTAACCCTAACCACAGTAACTTTACTTTGCCTCAATCTAACCTCTATAACTTTACATTAAGTAAGTAACTTTACCTTAAATACCTAACTTTAATATAAGAATGTAATGCTATTTGTGGGGCACTAATTTGTTAGATATCAGACGTGTGTCTGTTTTCATAGGATATCATACAAACCATTGTATGAGGATACATCGATAAGCATCAGTATGTGCAATATTTTGTAAAGACTGGATCAATTTGAGAGAAATAGCATGAAAGGTTTCCTTCAGTACTCTACAAAAGGATTGATAGAACAAACTTGGTGCACATTGTCATGGCAAATGTTAAGTGCAAAATGTGAACAGAATAATATGCTTGAATTGTTCATCTTTCTTAGTGACCTAAAACTTCTGGTGCACTGGTTAAGGGGTTAACTAATTGTTGTTTTCCAAAACATTTCCTTCAGCCCCATGATTAAAAGAAGTCCAGATATAACTAAAGCCTGGAATACAAAGTCAGAGCAGCTACTGAGGATAGACGACCATGACTTTACAATGCGACCAGGATTTGGAGGTAAGGAGGTTCATCTTTCTGAACTAAACGGAGCAGAGTTAATCACTTGTCATGCACTCAGCCAGTAGACTGTGATCTCTTTCCAAATATGCTTCAGTTTTGATTGACTCATTAGCCACATCAAGTGTTCTTTTAGACTTTATTCTAAACCCCAACCCACATCATGTGGGGGGCTGCCCATTGTTCTGACGGCTCATGACTTCGAAGCCCCAGTAGCCAAAAAATGTCCCATTCCCAGTTGGCCACAAACGTTTTGGTTGAATTTAGGCTGTGACATTGGGTGACCTAAATTCAATGTCAGGATGTCTAATGGCAATGTAAATTTGACAAAGAATATCGACAACAGATGACAATGATATTTTATTGGTTTTTAGTTGTGATCTTTAGTAACCAAAATCCAACCTCTTTCAAACGTCTCATGCCAACGTCATCTTGACGTAGAATAAAGACATTAAGTCACGAGGTATGGAGAGCAAAACCCAACATCTGCAAAATGTCATAATGTTAACATCTATACAAGCTGAAGTTTTAATGTCGTTAGGCATTTAAAACCAACCCAACACGATTTTCGTTCCAACCAAAATGTAACGGCTATCCAACGTAAGAGTCAAAAGATACTTTTAATTTCATAAATAGCTGGGATTGGAACAAAAGCCCATTTGTCCAACAGCAAATTCTGAAAACAAACGTGCATTGTTCTGAAGTAAAGGCCTTTTCTCCAAAAATACACTACACACTGTCCCAAACAGGAGCAAATGCCTAAGTATAATAGAGAATGACATCATTGGACCTTTCCACTATAGAGACAGAGCGCAACACCTCATACTCTGAAAACCACACCGGCATAACAGGCATTACAAAGCTTAGTTAGCTGCAACCTCTACAGTTTGGATGGCCAATATTAGCAAAATGCTTGCTGCACATAAACATGCTGAGTGTCAGGATCCTACGGTTTTCCAAAACATTCCTGCCGATGCCTCACATCTTATACCCTAAAAGCTCTTAGTAATGAGTTCTTTAGCACGTTGGTAGTGCATCCCACCACAAAGCAGCTTTTAGGCTTATCTGTGCTGTTTGCTAGCAGACGTAAATGAAAAGGAGGCCCCTTCATGTGATACAAAGTCAATGGAGAGCGATGACTTATTTTCTCCTTTGCTGCACTGTCTTAGGCAAAGGCATGCCCCGCCCTAGTTGGCCTCTGATTTGCTAGTTGTTTTGGGGACACCAGCCTATTGGGCACATTGGCGTTCAATCCAGTGGGACATTTTTCAGACCTCTGGGGCTTCAGCATTATGGGCCATCGGAACCATGACATGGCACCATCATCTTATCTATACACTCATCTAAATGTGTGAGGTGAGAGCATCCAGCCCTGGCTTGTAGTGATGACATAACAGAGTAGGATTACTGTATGTCTGAGCCTTGCTGCTGTGGGCCAGTGATTAATTACCAAGCAGCTATAATATGTAGCTTTAGGTTTCAACTCCAATCTCAATCTGCCACATCCGCAGTGCTCAGAGCCAGAATCTGTGTGCTTTTTAAAGCTTCACACTACCATTTCCCCCAGAGGTCTGAAATCTCACATGGAGTGCTTGGAAAGCATTTATTCACTTAATGGCAGACTTTGATTGGTCTTCACTGTTACTAGATCGAGTCTTATTAGTCTCAGGAGGTTTCTTAGGCTGTATGAATCTCACTGCTCTCACCAGCCCCCCACATAAAACCCTAAGTGGCCATTTCCAGCACAGATGAGCCATGTGCACGCTACCTACCCAGAATAAAAAAGCAGAGGTGAAAATTTAACAAGATGCTGATAAAAAAAGCTATGTTTGTTTTGGAGTCTTTCTGCACTCTAGTGATAAGGTATACATTATACATGACTAGGAGAGTTGTTCCCTTACCCTGATGTACATCAATGCTTCATGAAACAGGTGTGTGCAGAGTAAGTTAACAGCAAACACAAACCTCTATGCTGCATCAATAGTTAAGGTTTGGTAAGGTTTGGACACAAAAATGACTTAGGATTAAGGCTTCAGTATGCGCCAAATAAAATGCCTCTCAGAGAGTCTAACTGCATGTCAAATCCTTAACCCTAACCCCTTAAATCAAACCATTGTCTTTTTTCTAAACCTAATCAAGGAGTTTCGGTGCAGCTGCTACTGTAGAACATTATTAACCATTTATTTAAAACTTAAACTTAACAAGCTATCCTTTTATCCACTGGTACGTGCGCTAATTTAGGAAATGCTCCTGTGGACCTATTTGGTCATGTGGGTTAATGGACTTGTTGTACTAGATGGAAGCACAATCAGGATTTTGACCCTGTGTGTAAATAATCTTTTAAAAAAATGCAATGATGTAATTCCATGAGTCAAGTCCTGAGAAAGGTAAGAACTTGACTTTGAATAAGGAAATAGGTTGCACTAACTAAATAGTCCTAGGCTAATTCATCAGGAGATTTCAAAGAATGCATCTGGAATTTTGATTTTTCTATTTTTAAAATCTGAAGCCCTATTAAAAAAAGGAAAAAGATGGAAAAACCCAGCATGCACTATAAAGTCAATTAGGATTAGAGTACTCACTTGCTCACTCCATTGGCTCTGTGCCATTGTTTTGGAAATCTGCACCCAACTGCTTTGATGGGGATTTGGATGAAAGAGAGCAGAAGTCATTGTTTGAAGCAAAAGGGTTAGCCTAAAAAGGAGTCACAACCCTTCAAATAAACAAGATAATCCAGACAGTTCAGAATAAGGCACCTGGGCTACATCTGCACTCCTACTGTCCTCTGATGTATTTTAATATGTTAAGCCTACAATAACTTACAGGTTAACGCATCTTTGTAAACTGCTGCATATTTCTTTAGGGCCTGCAGTCCCTGTCGGAGTGGATGTTCAGGTTGAAAGTTTGGATGCTATTTCAGAGGTCGATATGGTATGTCTGGACCAAACTATAAGTAAGAAAATGCATGTATGTTGTTAGTTGAGATAATAATGTAACAGACACGTATCTTCTTGTTTAAGGATTTTACTATGACCCTGTATCTGAGGCACTATTGGAAAGATGAACGTCTGTCCTTCAAAAGCAACAACAACCTAAGCATGACCTTCGATGGCCGCCTGGTGAAGAAAATCTGGGTACCTGACATGTTTTTTGTCCACTCTAAGAGGTCCTTCACCCATGACACCACCACTGAAAACGTCATGCTGCGAGTTTACCCAGATGGCAAAGTCCTCTACAGCCTCCGGTAATTCCCCCCCAACACTTGACGTGTATGAAACAACTAGCAGTGGTTAAAGGAATACTTCACCCACAAAATTATTATTTGTATATTAGTTACTCACCCCATGTTACATTGAGTTGGTTTGTTTTTCTTGCATGCATCCACAGTGAACGGAGAATCCAAAAACTCTTGATGAATTGGAGTTAAAGGCGGACTGTGTTTAACAACAGCAAAACTGTATCAAAACATCTGTTTACAAACTCTCACACAAATCATACAGTATAATAAAAAGTTTTTTTAATCCATTCGTACACTCAGTGCTTCCCAAACACATTTATTTTTGCTGAACTCTTATTATTATACACTTATTTAATTTATATTAAATCATCTTGTGGGGCAACACCCTGTGAAAAAGGACAGTGATAGCCATTTAATTAACTCAGTCTCATTAACTGTCAATTTAGAACTTGGATGAATAATTGAGATAATAACTATAACCAAAACAACTGTATCAGTGGTCAAGACTTAAGGATTCTGGATATCAGCATATGTTGGCAGAATCATTCATTCTTGAGTATCGTGTGTGTGATGATGCAACGCAGCGACCCCTAATAATAAATTAAAATTACCACTCTTATGCAGACTGAGAAGAACTAGGTTGATTTTTGGGCACATCAGTGTCCTCTGGCTCTGATTTTAACTTTAACACCCCCCCCCGTGATACTCTGTGATTTCTTATATTATTCAAATTTGCTTAATAACACATTTTTCTGTGGTGTGACTCATTACACATATTTACTTTTGCTTTACCTGGACTTTAAATTCAAAGGTTTTGGAGAAAATGCATGTGTTTGGGAAGAACTGAGCATAGGACTGGATAAATGAGACTTTGATTATACTGCATGGGTTGTGTAACAGTTTGTAAATTGATGTTTAGTAATAGTTTTTGTTGTTGTGAAATGTGGCCCCCTTTTAATGCAATTCATCACAAATTTTCTCAGTTTTTAGATACTTTGTTCACCATGGATGTGTGCATAAAAAAACAAAGATTTCTTCACAAATTCTGTGTAACACAGGGTGAGTAATTGATATGCAAATAATCATTTTGTGTGTGTAAAGTGTTCCTTTAACTCAGCAGCAGTTTGAAGGAACAGTTCACCATTTTGGGAAATACAATTATTTGCTGTCTCCAAAAGTGATGTGTGACTATTACTACTGGAACTATGAAGCCTATCACAGCTGAAATTGGGTGAGAGGCAGGGTTCACCCTGGACACGTCACCAGACTATCACTGGGCTGACACATAGAGACAGAAAACCATTCACACTCACAGTCACACCTACGGACAATTTGGAGTCACCATTTAACCTAACCTGCATGTCTTTGTTTAGTAAAATCCTTTTCTACTTCAACTGTCATGCACTTAGCTGATAAAAATCAACATTATGTGCTTTCTTTATTAAAACTCAGAGGTATACTTTTTTTTAAACACAAAGTGTATCTCTGGACTGAACTGAGCAGTGCTGCAGGGCTGAGGTTATATCTGGGGTAACAAAAAAAATCCGACATATGTGCTCCAAATGGGATTTAAATCACTGAACTGCAGGTTATACTGAAAACATCCAACCTGAGAAATAAATCCAGTCGAAATGGAGCTGTAGACACATGGTCTTTATTCCTAAGCCATTTTCACAGAAGACATTTTTAAATGTCCCAGTAGGAAAATCACAAGTGTAAATAATCGAATGATAGCTGAATTCCACTTAGTTGCTTCAGCTCCAGGGTCCTACGTTGTTCATGTCAGTCACACTGTCATGTCTTACTGGGACACTTCAAAAGCCATTTATGTTGTCACTTAGTACATCTGTGCTTTTCCTAGTGTGACAAGCCAACATTTCTGCTATTAGAATGAGTCTTCCATGATCTCTACTCAAAACTGTGTGTACGACATTATCAAGTGTTACCTGAAAAAAACACTTGATACAAACATTAACGAAACAGTTTCACATTTTAAATTTTATTCCACTGTATTCTGTAGTACTAGATACGTAGAGGACATGTAATACTTATTAAGTGGGGCAGGTTATGATGTTAGTGGGTGTTCAGGGATGTGATTGCCGTCGGCTGTCCTGCCAAGACAAAGTGGCACCAGCTGCCACGCTACAAGATGTGTATTTAAGGGGATAACGTTCTGCCAATTAGGACCGCTAATACTGCTGAGCAAGACCTTGTAATTTTGGCGAGCGAGAGGAGGCTCAGAGCCAAGATAGTTGATTTTGTAATCCACATTACAGAGCAGGGCAGAGATTAACAGCTGGTCATCTGCCTCCTGTGCCCACACAAGCATAGTACGGCCTTCCTGACAGACTGGAACAAACCAATGCTGGTGACATTATTCACCAGCATTCACTATTTATTTGGAAATATCTGAATGTTGGCGCTAAAGGGTGATTTAAAATATATGTGACTGATAGTAGGAGCATAATGATATTTTCTTACCTGGTGAATGTCTTCTGTGTGAATGAGGGAAGAGTAGTTGATGGTAAGTGGGAGATATAAGCATACTCATCACATGGCCTGGGTTAATCTGTGTGGGGTTGGTGCTGGTTGGAGATTTTCCAGACTAAGGCAGATTGGCGAGTGAGGATGACAGTTTGTAGACCTCGCTTGCAGACCGTGTAGCCTCCTCTCGTCCTATGAGCTGGATTATGTATTTTCATTTATCATCTCTGTGCTGGAAACCAAATCTCTGCTGAAACCCCTGACCCACTCAGTATTTGTCTGTGAATATGGAAGGTTAATGCTCTGCTAAAGGTTACACATGCATTATGGAACTATAATGAAAAGTCAGTGGCCACTATTTACAGTGTTTATCACCAGACAAAACAAGCATAACTAGCTGTGCTCACATGCCAAGAGTGTAACTGAAATAATTATTCATCTGGTAATATTGTTTTGTCATTGCAGGGTGACAGTCACAGCCATGTGCAGCATGGACCTGAGTCGCTTCCCTCTCGATACACAGACTTGCTCTTTGGAGATAGAGAGCTGTAAGTGACGGATGAGATCAAACTTGATGTGGTTTTTCTTCTTCTCTGCTGTTACAGTTTCCACCAACTGCATTCAGATCATTTCTGTGACTTCTGTAGAAAATCTTGTAGCAGCAGAAGCACTAAGATCTTTCTCCCTCTGTCATGTTTTCTATATTACTATGTCAACATGCTAGATTACAGGTACTGTATGCAACTTTGTACATGTATAAATCATTTTTATTGCCCATGGAGAACTAGATTGTAAAGTAACTTAAAAACTGAGAACTTCCTTGGTTGCCTAAAACAGCTAGTGTAAAGGACTAGGACCAAGATTTCTGTGAAAATCCAAAGAAATTCAATTCATCCATCCATTTTCCATAACTGCTTACCCTGTTGGGGGTCGCGGGGGGGCTGGAGCCTATCCCAGCTGACACTGGGCGAGAAGCAGGGTACACACTGGACAGGTTGCCAGACTATCACAGGGCTGACACATAGACACAGCCAACCATTCACACTCACATTCACACCAAGGGACAATTTAGAGTCACCAATTAACCTGCATGTCTTTGGACTGTAGCCGAGTACCCGGTGAAAACCCACGCTGACACAGGGAGAACATGCAAACTCCGCAACCCTCTTGCTGTGAGGCGACAATGCTAACCACTACACCACCGTGCAGCCCACAATTAAATTCAGTTCAATTCAATCTTAATTTTATTTATAAAGCCCAATGTCAAAAACACAATTTGCCTCAGAGGGCTTTACAGCAACCCTTGCAAGGGATAAGGTAAAGCCCCCCACCCCCAAAAAAAACTTCAGTGGGGACAAAAAATAGACATTAACCCAGAAATCCCTTCCTGGCAGAAAGTCTAAAAGGCAACCTTCTCCCAACAGCGTGCTGCATGTCTTCTCAGCTCCGCTACTGCACAATAGTGTGCAGCTGCAGAGCTCCAGCCTCAGGCCCCATCTCTAGCATGGGGGCCTATGTCCATTGCCCGGAGTGGATATCATGTATTTATTGCACTTCTGTATCAGTAAATAACGTTCAAGTATCACTGAATTACATCATGCCAGTATAATCAATAAATAAAGTAGCCAATTGAGCGTATCTTTAATATGCTGTATCACATTTTATCATCTCCATGCCACTGTGTAAGTGTTGTAAGCTGACTAATCAGATTTGGTTTTAATGCTTTGGCTTCTAGCATATTGTTTGCCATGCTTATCGTTAATAAATAAGTGTATGATATGTTTTGATACTACTGCATTACAGGCTACAGAACAGAAAGGGTTATAGGCCACATAACTTGTGCTTTGTTTTGATTGATTCACCATCAGTAAAGTAGGTAAGGTATACTATACCTAAGACACTCAAATGCAGCTGACCTTGCTTCGTTAGATTGATTCATCATCACTAATACAGTAGGTTAAGTATACCAGAAACAAAATTCTCTAGTGCAGGGACACAGTATGGCTTAATAACAAGGCCAGTGTTGTATTTTTTTGTTCACTTAATGGCCTCAGAGAGAGGTGTCACTAATAAGAGGGATTTTCTGAAAGTTACATACAGAACCTTAAAGGAAATGATACTTATTCATGGGTGCAGATCTGATGACAAGTTTGGAGGGGAAACAATCAGTTGTGATTTTTTTTTAATTGCACGTGTGCAAATCATGCCCACAGAGCGCTTGAGATTGCCAGCATATTTCACGATTTCATAGAGGCTCATCACCATCACCAAGTCATTCAAAAAGCACTACAAAGAGAATCATATGCTTACCTTTACTGTTTATTTCTGTTAAACAGCCAGTAGTACATGGAACCAGCCATCACCCTCCTTTTCACTGCTTCGCTATTAGTTAATGCTACTTCTAGTTTCAGGGTCTCAGGCATGTTATGTCCACTCACGTTTTCATCTCTCGCCTCTCACGGATTCCCATTTCTCCTCATCATCGTCCCTTTCTCCCAGTATATAGGACTACTGTATACATTTGTTCAATTTCAATCATTTAAGCTATTTAGAATTGGGGGGGGACAATTTGTGTTTTTCAGAATTTGGGGGGGACATGTCCCCCCCGTCCTCCCCGGGATCTGCACCCATGTACTTATTATATAAGACCAGAGACTGTGGAGGATGTTCTTATTGCACTTTACAGTCTTCACTCAGTTGTTATTGTTTTATTGGGGAAAACAGAATTTGTGCCACAGATACTTAGTTTTTGCTCTTTATCTCTCCAGATGCTTATACAGATGATGACCTGATGCTGTACTGGAAGGAAGGGAACAGGTCGTTAAACACAGATGAAAGAATTTCTCTCTCACAGTTCCTCATCCAGGAATTCCACACCACCACCAAGCTGGCCTTCTACAGCAGCACAGGTACTGACAGAAAGTGCAGAGCTGTCTGTTGATTTAGATCTACAGTCAGGTCCATAATTATTTGGACAATGATACAGTTGTCGTCATTTTGGCTCTGTACACCACCACAATGGGTTTTAAATGAAACAATGAATACCTGCTTAAAGTGCAGACTCTCAGCTTTCATTTAAGGCTTTTTTCAAAAATGTAGTATGAACCGTGTAGGAATGACAACCATTTCTTCACACAGTCCCCTGACTTTAAGGGCTCATAAGTATTTGGACAAACTAACATAATCATCAATTAAACAGTCAGTTTTAATACTTGGTTGCAAATCCTTTACAGTCAATGACTGCCTGAAGTGTTGGACACATAGGCATCATCAGATGCTGGGTTTCTTCCCTGGTGATGCTCTGCCAGCCCTTTACTGCAGCCGTCTGCACTTCCTGCTTGTGTTTTGGGTGTTTTGCCCTTAGTTTTGGCTTCAGCAAGAGAAACGCATGCTCAGTTGGATTCAGGTCAGATGATATGACTTGGCCATTGTAGAACATTCCACTTCTTTGCCTTAAAAATGTCTTTGGTTGCTTTTGCAGTATGCTTCAGGTCAATGTCCATCTGCACTGTGAAGCATCGTCCAATGAGTTTTGAAGCATTTGGTTGAATCTGAGCAGATAATGTAGCCCCAAACACTTCAAAATTCATCCTGCTGCTCTTCTCAGCAGTCACATCATCAATAAATACAAGAGAACCAGTTCCACTGGCAGCCATACATGGCCATGACATAACAGTACCTCCACCATGCTTCACTGATGAGGTGGTGTGCTTTGGATCATGAGCAGTTCCTTCCCTTCTTCCTTCTCTTGTCTTCCCATCATTCTGGTAGTTGATCTTTGTTTTATCTGTCCATAGTATGCTGTTCCACAACTGTACAGGCTTTTTAGATGGTTTTTGACAAACTCTAATCTGGCCTTCCATTTTTAAGGCTAACCAATGGTTTGCATCTTGTGATAAACCCTCTGTATTTATTCTAGTGAAGTCTTGTCTTGCTTACAAGAGCAGCAGGATGAAAGCTGAAGTGTTTGGGGCTATATTATCTGCTCAGATAAAAAGCAACCAAAGACATTTTTAAGGCAAAGAAGTGGAATGTTCTGCAATGGCCAAGTCATATCATCTGACCTGAATCCAACTGAGCATGCGTTTCTCTTGCTGAAGCCAAAACTGAGGGCAAAACACCCAAAACACAAGCAGGAAGTGCAGACGGCTGCAGTAAAGGGCTGGCAGAGCATCACCAGGGAAGAAACCCAGCATCTGATGATGCCTATGTGTCCAACACTTCAGGCAGTCATTGACTGTAAAGGATTTGCAACCAAGTATTAAAACTGACTGTTTAATTGATGATTATGTTAGTTTGTCCAAATACTTATGAGCCCTTAAAGTTGGGGGACTGTGTGAAGAAATGGTTGTCATTCCTACACGGTTCATACTACATTTTTGAAAAAAGCCTTAAATGAAAGCTGAGAGTCTGCACTTTAAGCAGGTATTCATTGTTTCATTTAAAACCCATTGTGGTGGTGTACAGAGCCAAAATGACAACAACTGTATCATTGTCCAAATAATTATGGACCTGACTGTACATATCTAATATCTGAGGTCTATGTGACGTCTAACATCATCTCATCTCCAGGCTGGTACAACCGTCTGTACATCAACTTCACTCTGCGGCGGCACGTCTTCTTTTTCCTGCTGCAGACCTACTTCCCAGCCACTCTGATGGTCATGCTGTCCTGGGTGTCGTTCTGGATTGACCGCAGGGCCGTCCCTGCTAGAGTGCCACTAGGTAAGAGGGCTTTGCCATTGTTAGAGAATTGGTGCGTTGGTTAGCTAAGTGATTGCTCGCTTAGTTCTATCTAATCTGAACGAAATTTCACATTGTAATTTTTCTTGATGACTCAAATGAAATAAATTGAAATTTCTTTTTTCCATTTGAATGAAGAATGGTTATTTCTAAAGTAAAATTTAAAAATGTGTTTAAAAATAAGAATTACCGTCAGAATGTTGCCAAATGCATTTCACATGCAATTTATTATCATTACAGCATTATAGCACAACACATTTTCTAGGTTCTAATCCTGTGTCCCTGTGTTGATTGTTCATTTATCTTTTGTTAAATGCCAAATATGTCTCAAAAGACATTTTGCATCAAAATAAAAATAAAAAATCCTACATATTAAAATGTTATACTCTAGGTACCCCTCTAGCATGAGTTTTTAAGAGGAACAGTGATCAGTTTGTGCTGTTATGTGCAAAATACAAAATACACTAAATACACTGCCATTTTCACAGGTAATGTACAGTTTTCGCATGTTATTTACATAGTGTCTTTTCAAAATAAACTTCAACCAGCATATGTTTACCTTGTTTTTGGCTTACTTCGTTAAGTTTAGGCAACAAAAATACCTGGTTAGGTTTAAAAAAAAAGATTAGGATTTGGATTGATATAAGCACATTTGTTGACATAACGTCATATTACACATATTACATTACAAAGTTAATATAAGTCAACGTTGACTTTTGGTTTCACACAAGACACGACCACCAGTCTCCTGGGTGAAAGTCCTGTGCTGGTTTAACCCATCAGTTGCTTAGAGCATCTACTAATGATATAGCCCAGTGTGTCTCATACGGATGCTAAAGGGTGGTGCTCTGAATATCAAGTAAAGCTCCTTTAAACACACTTCAACTCCTTCTTCATTGTGACTTTAATGTTGGCAGCCCACAGCTTCCATAATCAAATGGCAGTTATAGGTGACTATTTAAACTTGATATTTTGTTGAGTCAAGTTCTGAACATATATTTTTCTTCAGCACTTGTGTCAGTCAATATTGGCACATACTTGACATCACGATTGTATTCTGAGCAAATAAGTGGAAGCAGCATGGTCTTAAACAGGGGAAAATAGTAATAATTTTCTCAGACAAATTCCCTTTATGTTTATCACTATAACTGCAACATAACATTTTAGACTGGTTTCACTTGCTCTGAAGCTGTTGTCCTTCTTTAGGTATAACTACGGTGCTCACCATGTCCACCATCATCACGGGAGTCAATGCCTCCATGCCCAGGGTCTCCTACATCAAAGCTGTGGACATTTACCTGTGGGTCAGTTTTGTCTTTGTGTTCCTGTCCGTGTTAGAGTACGCTGCAGTCAACTACCTGTCTACTCTACAAGAACGCAAGGAAAGGGCACTCCGGGAGAGGGTTAGTACCAGTCACTCATCTCCATGCTACAGATGCCAAGAGGTACATGTGCATTTACTAAAGTCATCAGTTAAAAGCAACATATATTTTTATGCTTCTGTGCTGGCAATAGCTGTCGCCAGAGGTATTATGTTTTCGGGTTCTCCGGGTGTATGTACATACATCCCATCCTTGTGAACTTGGACTCAACAATGAACTAATTAGTTTTTAATGGTCAAAGGTCAAGGTCACTGTGACGTTGTCTTTCTTATTCTCTTGTACTCATGAACTCGTTATCTCAAGAATGCCTTGAGGGAATTTTCAAATTTGGCACAAAGGTTGACTTGAATTCAAGGATGAACTGTTCAGATTTTGGTGGTCAAAGATCAAGGTCACTGTGACCTTGCATCTGTCTCATTTTCATGAACATAAACTCTCAAGAACAGCTTGAGGGATTTTTTTTTTAAATTTGGCACAAACTTTCACTTGGACTCAATGATGAACCAACTTGATTTTTGTAGTCAAAGGTCAAGGACTATGTGACCTCATCTGTCTCATTCTTGTGAACACAATATCTCAAGGGCACCCCTGAGGGAATTTTTCCAAGTTCAACACGAACGTCCACTTGAACTGAAGAACAACCTGATTAGAATTTGGTGGTCAAAGGTCAAGGTCAGTCTGACCACACAAATATGTTTCTGGCCATAATTCAAGAATTACACATGCAAATCATGACAAAACTTCACACAAATATCAAATAGGATAAAATAATGAAGTGATGACTTTTTATATCCAAAAGGTCAAAGGTCAGCTTCACTGTGACATCATCATCTTCTGAAAAAACACTTTTCTGGCCGTTAGTCATATATCAGGAACAGAGGGGAAAATATTTGGTTAGATACTGAATTGGTGACACTAATCGTGGGTGTCCACCTTGAAAATGTGCTGATTATATAGATCGACTGTGCTGCCAGCTGGAAAATGGGTGCAAAGCATCCATGTTTTCACAGACATGGATGTAAACTGTAAGAAAAACTTGACTTGTGCACGGAGGCATACAACCACAGGGCGGTAATTCTAGTTTCAATAAGTTTCTGGATTTAAAAGTTGATGAGCATAAGAAACAAGTTTTTTTTTTTGTAAACATATAGGGCTCTAGTTTCCCGGCGCGGCGCAGGGTGGCGCAGGGTGGCGAACCCCACGCAGAGCTAGTTTCGAGCAGCGCAACCCGAGGCACGCTCAGTTTGGTAGTTTGGCAGACCGAGGTGCGCTGAGATGGGTGTGGCGGCGCAGCAGGGGGAGGTGTCAACAGATCCAGCTTGGCGCAGTGACAGTTTCGTGCCAAAAGGCTTCGCCAAAGGTGCGCTAAAAGCTCGCCAACTGAAACCACGTCTGCTGTCAGCGCAGGGGGAGCACAGCCGGTGTAAGCCGAAGTTTGGCTGACCGGCGGACAGTGCGCACACGTCACCAAAACCTCAAAGGCAGGTTTCCAGAATATCAGGCACATTAACGATGCAATAAATAGCCACAAAAACCACTATTCAATGCAACTATCTGCAATCAGCACATAAATGTATCTCAATATCGACTGTCCCGTCACATCTGATGTCAGATCAAAGGGGATTGGCACAGTTTGGCACGTTTGGCACGCGTAAAGGAAACCCAACCTGATTTGATTAACACAGCTGCAAACTAGTGAGTTCACATCCCTCTCAGCCAACCACAAACAGCCACAGCATCAGATAGGGAGTATATATTCAGCATCTGTCATCTTAGAAAAGTCAAAAGAAAAGAAACAGAGTGAGACTGCGAGAGAGGAAGAGAGACCGCGCGCGCAAGAGAGAAACGCAACATTGATTTACAATTGTGGTGACCTCCTCCCAGGCTACCTTTGCATCATCAGCCTGTGGAGGTCTGCTCGCAGTTCCATATATTCAGACACAGCGAGCTTGGACCTCCTGGACCAAAACATCAGTTTCCTCCTTGGAGAAGTTTGGCCGTCTGACGCTGCTGCTCTCTTCTGCCATGGCGAATTGAGTAAACTCTCATTACGCCTTCGCGCGGCGCATTTAAGGGTGAGGAGAGGGGCTCATTTGAATGGTGTGATGTGAATGGGCTGTGTAAAAACCACTCCACGCCTTCTCTCCTCCCTCTTTCCGACTTGCGCAGGTAGGAGGGACGGAGGTGGGAAAGAGGAGTAGCTGCGCCAGGGTGCACGGTGTGCCACACTTACAAAATCCGCCTGGCCACACCCAGTTGGCAAAGCGCAGGTGCGCTGCGCCCCCGCCGCGCCCGGTCTGCAAAACTAGAGCCCATAGTGTTTTGTACAGCCATTAAGTACTCTTTGTCTATTTGCAGCTGCCGTGTACCTGTGGTATGGCCCATCCTGGCATGATGTCAGCCAGCTACAGTGAGGTGGATGCCAACACAACAGGGAACTACGGCATGCCAGAAGAGAATGGGGTAAAGAGGGAGAGGATGCTGGTGCAGCTGGCGATGGAGACCGACCAGGTCACTGGCCATGTTGGCTCTGGCGCCTACAACAACGTCTGGATCGACACGCATGCCATAGACAAATACTCCCGGGTCATCTTTCCTGGATCTTACATCCTCTTCAACATCATCTACTGGTCTATCTACTCCTAACACAGATGGGACTCAAACCAGAGCTGTGAACACTTCTGGCAGAAGTGTGAAATATCTGCCTCCCTGCTTGTCAAAGTGAGTAACTGATGCACTTGAGTGGAGACTTGGGCACTCAGCTTGCAGAGTCAGGCTTTTGTGTCTTCAAATTTGAAAGATGGAAGATGGAACAGTCCAATCCAAAGAAAGACCAGTGTACAGTAGAGGTCTTCAGGCAGACCTGAACCCCCAAGCACATTCAACTTCCCCTCTGTCCTCAGGTCTCTACAAACTTTTGACAGGACAGAACCTCAGGGACCTGGAACAGTCTTACAGGACCACATACAGCTGAAACTGTCTGCCAAATAAAGCACAATATTATCCAGTGTGGCTTCATCTTGATACATATTGTTTACCATGATGTGTACTTTTGGGGCGTCAAATGTTTTGTCACAGTGCCACTTTGTCTGAAAAGTTTGAATTTAAGAGGTTGTTACCAGTTATTGGTTAGAGGTTTCTCAACTGGTTCAGAGCTCAATAAATTCTTCAATCAAGGGCTTGAGACAAATAGAAGGCAATGCGTCAGTAAATTCTGAGGGGGAACTTTTTTGGTATTGGTTTATGTGCAGTTTTCTTATATATGACAGGACAGGTTCACTTTCGCAGGGCCCTGTTATAATCAACAAGCGCACTGGCAAGCGCAAAGCAGTAGGTCTAATGTGCAAGGACTGTGTGAGCATTTCCAAGATACATGACAACAGCAGCTCAACAAATGGAGAGATGCTTTTTCAGGAAATCATATTGTTGCCTGTATGGCAGAGATGTTCTGATACCATTATTTTCTTCTGAATACTGATTACTATACCTGAACCTATACCTGAACTTGTGTATGGGACGATACCAAATACCATTTCGATAACGGTGAGTTAAAAAAGAATAAAAAATAAAAATAACTGCTGTATACCGCTAACCCTGTATGGGTGTAAATAATTGCTATTATTGTTGAATGGCATGGCCTTTGTAAAACATGAACAAATACAAACATAGAATGAATGCCATAGACCTTTCTTTTATTATTGAATTTGACATTTTGCTTCTGGCTAACAAACTATTTACTGTAAATCAATTTGTCGTCACTCAAAAACAGTACTTGCCATTAGCAGCACAGCGCAACTTGTGTAGGCTACTGTTTCAAAGCGGCGAAGAACAACTGATTTTTGGGAAAACTGTCACTTTATTTCACTTAAATTTTAATAAATTACGTAGTATTGAATCGGTGCATTGCAATCCTAGCATTTTAAGCAGTATTAGAGGCATGTCCAATGCCGGTATCAATGTGGGAACAACTTTACTGGATGGTGCAATGCATCAAGATGTGAAACAGCTCCAACGTGTGCTTTCCCATCATTTCATTAGTACAACAGCCAAACAAGAAAACTGGATCTGAGCAATGAATCTGAATTGAGCACTAAAGCTTGTTGTGTGACTGTAGTCAGTGACTTACCTGTCAGTCCAAGTGAGTTCATGTTTGCGGACCAAAACTAAGAGGCAACAATGTATCATTGATATTCTTTGGTCTGGGCCAACTGAACAGAACTACAGTGTGTAAGAGATTGCAGGCTTTTGAACTAGAGAGGACCTCTAGTGTGCAGGGACAGGACTAAAGAAAGCTGCAGTCTCAGAAAGTCACTTCATTCTAAGGAGATTACCAATGCGATTTATATTTCTATATATTTGTGATGTGTGCAGAACACTGAATTATCAAACAGTTAAGCTGAATTGACACCTATGGTGAAACTTGAAAGCATGAAATATTTCATTTCAAAAACATGCAGTTTTACAAGGACAAACTGCAGCCCAGTCGCCAGAAGATAATGATGCCATTGTACAATTCTGCAAACCACGAATATGTTATCATATGAGCGTTTTTAAAGTGACATAGTATATAACATTACTTTGTCATTGGGAGGTGGAGGGGATGATAGATGGTGTGACACCTGGGCAAGATGCCTGCCAAGCTGCAGAGCACTGCTCAAGACCAACAAACAACCAAACTGTTTTTTAGCCACCGAACATGTTTTTTTTTTTTTTTAGGAATCTGTCATTGTTTTTCTAGCAGCTTTTTGGCTACCAAATGTCTTCTTTTTAAGTAACTTGTTGTTGTTTTTCCAGAGTCGTTTAAGCCATCAAACGTGGGTGTCTTTAGCAACTTGTTCTTGTTTTTCCAGAGGCTTTTAAGCCACCCATTATGGATGTTTTCAGCAACCTGTCACTGTTTTTCCAGAGGCTTTTTGGCCACCAAGCATGTATGTTTTTAGCAACTTGTTCTTGTTTTCCCAGAGGCTTTTAAGCCACCAAGCATGGCTGGTTTTAGCAACCTGTCACTATTTTTCCAGAGGCTTCTTTAGCCACCAAACATGGGTGTTTTTTTTTATTTTTATTTAGTGAATTATCACTGTGTTTTCACACTGTGTTTTCGGATTTTTAGGCTTAGATTTTCTGTTGTGACCACTGTTTTTCCAGCGGGGATAGTGGTACAAAAAGCAGTTTGTCTTTAAAGAGACATTGCTGGGGATTGTGCCCCCAAAAGAGAGTATTTTAAGCCAAAACATGATCTTTTCCTATCCATAACCAAGTGGCTTTTGTGCCTAAACCCACCACATGTTAACCACAGCGCTGTTAAAACGTATCTTCTACGTAATAATGTGCAATGTCACATTTCCGTGGTTTGCAGACAATGGGAATATTTTTTCTGGCGATTGGGCTGTAATCTGTTATGAAAAAACATGTTCTGTAGATGATTTATAACTCAAGGTGTAGTGTGTTGCACAGCTCTTCATTTGACACAAGGTATCAGATGGACAAACCTGTAGCATCTGTTTTTATCAAAAGTTCTTTTATGTGGCTCAGATATTGTGTTGGTTATAGTGAAAAGTTTGGTAATTAATGATTAACAGAATCAAGGTGAGTTTGTGTTTAAACAGCAGCAGTTTGTGCTGTAAATCCTGTTTTTTGTTTATTTTTTTTTAAGTTAAATCTTCAGGGTGTCGTGGTTTAACGTCATTGTTTGATCAGTTGACCTTTTTTCTAGATATGCTCTGAGTTACACTCGGTAGCAGTCATAGACATCAGTGTCATTCTCATATGGAACTGGAGCTTTTTCTACTTTCATATCTCCATCTCCTCTAACTCCTCTCATCAACATAGTGACATATTAAATCATGTATTGACTCTGTGCTAAGTCAGTGTACAGAATTCTTGATTAAAATGTTTTTCTTACAGTAGTTCTTCCCAGCCTGTATACTGCAAAAACACAATGTCTTACTAAAAATGACAAATACCATCACTGTGATGCAGGTCAGCAGAACACTGGATATGTTTGAGTCAGACGAAGTCTGTTGGATCAACAGGCTTTGAAGTTTGGTTTTGAAATGCATCATCTGTTGCTTTTATCTTATGTAATGTCTACTGTGACATCTGTTGTGGCTTATGTCAAATTTTAGACAAAGCCAAAGCAGCACACATGGTGGACAAAACTGAGAGCTTAGTAAAATCATTTTTATTGTAAATAACAAAAACAACATCCTCTATCCGCTGATGAAAAAAGAGGATTAATGATGGAGCCATGATATAAAAAGTCTGTTAAGATACAGTTGTGATGAGAGAGATCATCATTTGGTAACTGAAGTGTAATTATTCAGCGTCTACTGTTTGCTATGTGCCGATTGCTATCTTAGTGGTTACATTTGAACGTCTTAAGTGTTCTTCTTAATAGATCATTTTTTGGTTTATTATACCTTCGGTCTTATTATTGGAGTTGTGGCCATTCCATGTTATTTTGTTTGCCCCTGCCCATCAGACAGCCTGAGTCCACAACTGTTCAGAGCTGCTGTTGTCAGCCTCCTACGTATTTTCTTCCTCTTAAGCTTTTTTTTTTGATACCCACAGTCGATTGTAATATTATAATAAGGTCACCTGGTGCAGTGGTTCTCAACTAGGAGGTCCTTAAGGGAGTTCCCAGTGAAATGAGGGATATTTTCACTATTCAATTCACATAAAAGTGAGTACAGTGTCAGTAAGAGTCATAAAAGTGACTATTCTGATCCTAGGTTTCACTTCCTCCATGTTATCTCCTGCACTGTAGCTGACAACTATAGACCAAATCACCAATACTGCGCCAACATGGAAAAATAATATACCTGCCTGCAACACACAAGCAGTGTGAGCACCGATCCACTGTGTTTTTCTTTACAGTGTTCTACCTGCCAGTGAAAAAAATTGAAACACGGCAACAAAATTTAAACATTTTTCTGGAACAAAAATTACAATTAAATTAAACAATTAAAATTAACATAAGCAGAGTAGGTGGGAGAAGAAGAGACTTTTGAGTGCAAGCATATGAATAACATGCTGCTCACACAACACCTCCTGTGTAGATACTGTACAAGTATTTGAGGCTGACCAATTCATTGCTTTGGCCGATGAATCGGCGCTGGTAGAACTTTATATAAACTATAGTTATTGGCAGAATGGGGTCTGATAGTGGCTGATAGCTGTATCCGTCACTGATCATGCAGGTACGGCTGGAAGGCTTTTGCACAGAGTACCCCACACGCAAAGTCAAGGTATCATGTGTGCTTTAGATCATTTGTATGATTTAAATGAAAGTTAACTAATGTAGGACAGCTTTACGTCTTTATTAGGGGCATAATAAGGCTGCTGGTTATAGGACAGCCTGTTTTAGGACCATGGACAGAGCTGTTTGTTGTGTGTACAAAGTCATGTTTATATGGCCTGCTGAGGTCCATTCCAGAAAGCAGGTTTAACAAACTCTGAGTCTAACCCTGAACTCTGAAATGTTATCGACTGATTAATCAGCTATCGTTTTTTTCCTGCTCCAAATTATCTTTATTATATCGGCCATTAAAAATTCACTATTGGTCGACCTCTAGTAATTATACTGTCTGCTGGTGCCCTTCAGTGAAAACTTTATTTACCAAACACTACTTGAACAAATGCATTGTAAGTCGTGGCTACTTTATATTTAAAGGGTAATTCCAATTTGTTACATCTTGGGTATTATTTTGGCAGAAATATTGGGACTTCAGTGACACAGGGAGACATCTTTACAGCATTCAAAAACATGTAGATGCTGGTAGATTACGGAGTGGGAGCCTAAGGGAATATATGATCATTACCCCTCTGAGGATAGGACATACTGGATTGAACGACACTCTGCATAGAATAGGGAGGCATCCTACTGGACTATATTCAAATTGTAACGAACTGTAAACAGTCAAACGTGTACTAATAGATTGCAACATGTATGAAGAAGAAAGAAGGCAGTTAAAAACAGGACTAAAAGTGCAGTATTACATTTGGGAATATACTTGGACGGACATCAAGGAATATACATAAGCTTCTGTTTAATTATTTAAGACAGGAATAATAGAGAGAATTTAGCCTCTGTCTTTTTTTTTGTTTGTTTGTTTGTCTCTAACCATCTACTGCTGCACACTCCAGTCCAGTAGGCGGCGGTAATGCACTTGAATGCTGGTTTGCCAACCGCCATTAAAACTCAGACAAGAAAGAAAGTACCACAGCTAATGATTACTGAACAACAAAAGTTCTTATAAAGTGAGCAAGATGAGTGAGGGAGCAGAGCTGCTGCTGCAGCTGAAACACAGAGCTGGCTGCTGTATAGACGAAGCCGAAGCAAAGCTCCACAGCCTCAGTAAGGACATATGGAGCTGTCCGGAGCTGGCTTATGAGGAAAGCAAGTCTCATGACAGACTGGTAGCGTTTTTCAGTCAGGAAGAAGGCTGGAAGGTGGACGCTCACTTCAAACTGCACACTGCATTTCGAGCCACTTGGAGAAGTGGAGGCAGCGGGCGGGGCGACGTGGTCAACGTGGGTTTCCTGTGTGAGTACGACGCCCTGCCTGGTATTGGACACGCGTGTGGACACAACTTGATAGCTGAGGTTGGAACTGCTGCGGCTCTGGGGCTCAAAGCTGTGCTGGAAAACACGCACAGTGAGCTTCCTGTGCAGGTGCAGGTAGGACTACATGTGTGACCGGTGCAGTACGGGAGGACGGGGCCGGTTGTCACGCTAAGCACAGCTCAGTCCTAATGTAAACTCACTCAGTAGGTTTACATGCACAGTTAAGTACTAGGCCATTTAATTGGACTACTGACAGTAGTCCAATTAAATGGCCAAATAGTAGTAGTGATGGCCAAATAAAGCCTCATGAAGCAATGTCTTTATTTTCTGAGCCCACTGCTCTTGGTTTAAAGGGCCAGTGTGTAATATTTGGCATGGTTTATTGTCAATCTGAATCTGAATCTGAATATTCTGTCCATTATTATGTTTATATAAGTGTATAATCGCTATAAAATAAAATTCGTTTGGTTTTCGTAGCCTTATAATTATACTTATATATATATATAGCAAGGGCCTTGCTTTAGAGAGGTCGCCATCTTGCGCCGCCATGTATGTAAGGCAGCCCGAGCGGACAATCCAGCCAGCCAGAGAACACGTTTCGCGTGTATAAATGAACCAACGAAGACAGCGGAAGGGAGGACACAGCAGAGAGTGTTAGTAGTTCGTCGATAGAGAGTAGTGAAGTTTTTTTAGTTATAAAG